AGTCAAGGATGGTGATTCCTCTGGTAGTTCCTTTATTGTACAGGGTTGGTTTTTTGGCTATCTTTTGTTAGTCCCAAAAGACCTGGGTCTTTTTTTTTCATATAAAGTTGAGAATTGTTCTTTCTTTCTTTTTTCTTATTGGGTCCACCCCTGTTCCCAAGAACACCAGGATAATCTACATAAGCCCTCAAGTTTCATAGTGTAGAATAAGGACTGTTTCCTGGATGTATACCACATCTCAGGAACTATTCTAGTTATTTTTTAAGGATTCACTTTTGGTTTATTATTTATTTATTCATTTTATTTTATTTTTAGTTTAAATTAGAAACAAGCCAGCTTTACCTGTCAATCCCTTCTCCCTCCCCTCTTCCACCACCCCCCAACAGCCTCCCAACCCATCCCCCTCTTCTCCCCAGGGAGGGATCCCCAAAGTCTGTCATATCATCCTGGGCAGGGCATAGACCCTCCCACATGTGTCTAGGCTGAGAGAACATCCCTCCATATGGAATATGCTCCCAAAGTCCTCTCTTACACCAGGGATAAATACTGATCTTCTACCAGAGGCCCCATAGAGTATTAAGGCATCCTCATTGACATCCATTTTTAAGGGTCTGGATCAGTCCTGTGCTGGCCTCCCATACATCAGTCTGGGGTCCATGAGCTCCCTCTTGTTCAGGTCAGCTGATTCTGTGGGTTTCACCAGCCCAGTCTTGGCCTCTTTGCTCTTCACTCCTCCCTCTCTGCAACTGTGTCCCAGAGTTCAGTTCAGTGTTTACCTATGGGTGTCTGCCTCTGCTTCCATCAGCCACTGGATGAAGGCTCTAGGATGGCATATAAGGTAGTCATCAGTCTCATTATAGGGGAAGGGCATTTTGGGTAGCCCCTCAATGGAATCTTGCAATTCACAGAAAATGGATGGAACTAGAAGAAACCATCCTGGGTGAGGTAACCCAGTCACAAAAAGAAAAACTTGGTATGTAGTCACTCATATATGATTTTTAGACATAGAGTAAAGGATTACAAGCATACAATCCATATCACCAAAGGCACTAGGAAACAAGGACTCTAAGAGAAGAATGCATGGACCCCAGAGAAGGGGAAGGGGACAGGATCTCCTGAGCTAATTGGGAGCATGTGGGTTGGGGAGAGGGAGCTGGGAGCATGAGAGGGGGAGAAGAGGAGGGGAGAGGCGGAAATGAGGGAGCATGGAGGTTGAGTTGGGGGGAAGAATACAGGAGAGTAGGATGAGAGATACCATAACAGACGGAGCCATTATAGGTTTGAGGAGATATCTGGCAGTAGGGAGATTTCCAGTCATCTACAAGGATGACACCAACTGACAATCTAAGCAATAGTGAAGAATTGTTCTGGGATTTTGATGGGGATTGCATTGAATCTGTAGATTGCTTTTGGCAAGATTTCCATTTTTACTATATTGATCCTACTTATCCAAGAGCATGGGAGATCTTTCAATTTTCTGGTATCTTCCTTAATTTCTTTCTTTAAAGACCCAAAGTTCTTGCATGGTAGCCCACAGAATGGAAAAGGACAAGATCTCCTGAGCTAATTGGGGGCATTCTGGGGGGGAGAAGAAGTTAGAAGAAAGAGATGGGAGAAGAGAAGGGGAGAGGAGGACATGAGAGAGCAGGAAGATCAAGTCAGGGGAAGAATAGAGGAGAGCAAGAAAATAGATACCATAATAGAGGGAGCCATTATAGGTTTAAAGAGAAATCTAGCAGTAGGGAAATGTCCAAAGATGTACAAGGTTGACCCCAACTAATAATCTAAGCAATAGTGGAGATGCTACCTTAAATGCCCTTCCCCAACAATGGATAAAGAAATTGATTGAAGGAGAGGGAACTGGGATTGACATGTAAAACATGCTTGTGTCTAATTTAAATTAAAAAGGTTAAAAAAAATAAAATGCAGTTATAAGGAACATTTACAATGAATACACATTATAACTAAATCTTTCAAATAGTTTCTTAACTTCTAAGGTACACTGGTGAAACCTATACAAGCTGAAAATGCTTAGTTATCTGAAGAATCAAAACAGGATATATTTAGAGATTTTATATTTTCTAAACTCAGTTAAAACTGTTATCCACTTAGTCATTTGAACAGTGACAATGTATGGATCTTTTTATGGGGGTTTCATAACCAATCAAAATAATGAGACTTTTTCTTGTGAGCTTGGTGAAAGGTTTTATTAGTTCATAATGATTCTTATTTACTTTATAGTGGGAAAACACACTTTCATACATCAAAATAAAAGATAATATTGTTCCCAACAGTGGAGGTGTGTGTGTGTGTGTGTGTGTGTGTGTGTGTGTGTGTGTGTGTGTGTGTTGTATATACATGTCTGCATAGAGGTTATAAGGGGAGGATTTGTAGTAGTACTCCTTTATTACCCTCTGGAAACAGTGTCTCTCACTGACCCTGATCTTCCCTGTTCTCTATCAGTGTGGCTGGCCATGGGGTTCCTGTGAAATTGCTTTCTCTGATGCTTAACCCTTCCAGCACTAAGGATACAGGCTCTAATGCAGCGTGTTTGTTGTGCTTTGGAACTTCCTATCTTATGATTATCTACCAGGACCCCTTATCTCTGAGTCATCTCCCCATCCCTAGTTCTCAGTTTCCAAATTCTAACGTAATTGTTTGCTCAATTTAAAAACCATAAAAATCATTTTATTATGTATTTTTTCTTTTTATTTATGCTTGAATTGTACCATTGTTAATTACTCTTTAGAGGGATATTATATGCAATGATACATAAATGAACGCAATTTAAAGAGAAAATTGGCAAGTAATATTTATTTTTTAAAAACTCCATTTAAGTATAATTTACTGATAAGTCTATATATGAATATTATATCAGTAATAGAATGATGAAAATGATAGGAAGTTTCTCAGTATCTTCTGGGTGTGTCAGGGGTAAGTGCTAAAGTCATGTCAAGAGCCATGTGGGTGAGTGTTTTCAAACAGCAGTTCATTGGATACACCCTGACATCTCAGGGTCTGGATTATAAAAGCATGGCTATGTTTTCAAAGCAGTCATTTGTAATTTCTGGAACATTATTCTACAATGACACATTTAAACATTCTTCAAAGTGTACACAATGCTGGGATAAAGACAAAAGCTTTACTAAAACAATAGAGTTAGAGTTCTTCCTACCTCTCTCCATTTTCTTTATGTGTGTGTCATGTTTAAGTCTTCCTAATTTTTAGCAAGTGGGCTCAGTATGGCTACATTTTTAGAGTTTAAGGATGTATAAGCTAAGTGTTTATAATGACTACTTTTACTGGAAAATATAAACTTAAGTCTGTTCCTTTGAAAATGTTTGTAAAGTCACAAGGATAACTTTCAAGAAAGATAGTTGTGATTCATAAATCTTTATGACTTCTATTAGAAGATTGTGGAAGTTTTTATTATTCTTTGTATAGACTTCTACATAGTTGAAAGGACATTTGTCTTTGTTTAAATACCTGTTTTGTTTTTGACACTCTCTCACACAGACCCGGCCTCCCTCCATTTTAGTAGATAGCCAAGGGTGACTTTCAAATTCTGATCCATATACCATTCTATCCAAAGTGGCAAGAATACAGATGTGCATTACTGTCTCACCCAACTTACATGGTGCTGAGGGCATAACCCAGGGCTTTGTGTATGGTGTAAAAGTTTTGTCAACAGAACTACATCCCCAACTTAGACATTTTTCAATAAAATTCAATGACCAAGTACTGAGAAACCTTACCAAACATTTGAATTTTCCTTACGAGTCATCTTCTATTTTGAGAAAGCATATGACAAACTAGAGGCAACAATTTCAGTATACTGACAAGCAATGATAACAAGATCCTGAGTAAACATCTTATTAATTATTTCTCTACTAGCTCTCTGAACTGAAAGTTAATATGCCATCCTAAATTATTATTATATACTAAATTGATCAAGATTCCTTTACTATGACTAAGAAAATTAAATGTAACAGTCATTGCCCTTAGAGTCATGAAATGAAAACGAACATCCATTTCATACACAACATCCCACAAAATCCCTCTTATGCACACACACACACACACACACACACACACACACACACACACACACACACGCACACACACACACGTAAGAGACAGACAGAGAGAAAGAGAGAAAGACTAGTAGTTTAATGTCTTCTGAGAAATATATTAGTGTTTTAGAATTGAATTCAATGTTTTATTGTCATATTCACCCTCTGTAAGCCTCCTCCCCAATCCATATCCCCTTCCCAACCCACTCAACAATGTGTCACTTAAAACAAAAAATCCATCAAGTCTACTTAGTGTTGCTCATATACTTTTGGATGTATGAACTTCCACTGGAGCATTGTCTACCACTTTTATAGAAAACTTACTACACCTCTCCTAGCAACTATTAATTGCCAATAGCTCCTCAGGTAGGAATGTAACTCAGTGCCCAGCACTACCCAAATCGCCATGCAGAAATTTCATCTATCTTGGAGTTGTACAGCTAGCTCTATTTTATGCTATCTAAACTGCCATCAAATAATAGGTGCCACTGCCCTGTTTTGTCTTGAAAACACCATTTCCTTATAGTCATCTAGATGTCTGTCACTTTAAATATTTCTTCCATGCTTCCCCAATGCACAGTTTTCTGTTCTATTCAAGCCTTGTTACATTAATTAAAAACATTGTTAGAGGCTGGGAGTTCATTTACATTGGGATTATGCTAGAGCATAGGTTCCACACTAGTAGGGTTTTCCAGTGATTTTACTCATTGCTGCAAGCCAAGAATTTAAGAATGTGTTTGACATATATAGATGCTTAAAACATGCTTGTAAATTCATGCTAAACAATTGCTTCTAGCTGAAAATAGGTCTCAAGCTTTGAAACCATCAAATTCAGCTGTTTTAAGCTCTATATTTCTTTTAATAGTTATATTCTTTCAATAAGGTCTTGGAGATTTCATATTTGACTCCATCTTTTTCCTTCCTCAGGTCACATCTATTATCAAGCTGATCAGAAACAAACTGATTGCAAGGATCATAGCATTCCTCTATGATTCAATGTCACTTGATGAATGATGCAAGTAATGGTTTTAAGATTTGGAGAAAATTATAATATCAGCCAAAGATAACCTAGCATGCACAACACCTTCCAGCACTATGGCAACTAGACCATAGGGGTGAGGCTTCCAGGTCAGTGCCAACTTGATTTCTCTCTGTTCTATGACTTAATTATGAGGCATCTTCAGTAAAAAGCTCTTAACAATTTCTGGAAGCTCACCAAGAGCACTGGCAACAACCTGTAGCATTTGAAGGTTTATGAGACCTTCCTAGCAAAATTTATATTTGGTTATTTTTAGAGTTTTTTATTAATTTATGTTTTGTATTCTAATCCCATATCTCTCTCCCTGTTCTCCTCCTGCTCTCCCCACTACTCCCATCCCATCTCCCATCTGTTCCAGTAAGAAAGTAAGGCCTTCCCTAGGAAGTCTACTACATCTGTCCCATCATCTCCTTGAAGAAGGACCAAGATGTCCCCTGCACCCATGTGTTTATGTTGAGCAAAGTTACCTCTCCATATAGAGAGGAAATTCATTCATGGCACTGGGATATTACTTAGCTTGTAGTGTTTGGTAGAGGTACTGTAGTCCTATACTCATATGAACAAAATGCTGATATCATTGATAATATTTGAATTTGAAATTTTATTATATGTAAACTACAATTTGAATATATATTTAAATGTGAACATCAAATTAGATCCAAAATCATCTAATAAAAAGTTTCACAGCAGTACAACTCAAAATCTCATGGAGCTGATGTATTTGAACATAGTTGTAAAACCAAATAGGAGACAATATATTGTTTTTTGAAGTTCTCATTGATTTCCTCAGTAGAAGCAATTATTCTTGTGTGTGTGTGTGTGTGTGTGTGTGTGTTCAAGTGTGTGTGTGTATGAGTATATATGTGTGTATGAGTACATATGTGTGTGTACATGTGTGTCCACATTGATATGAGTGTGCCTGTCAGAAGGACAGAGAATAAAACATGTTTCTTTTGGTTACATTACAGGAAAGATTAAGATTCTCTTAGTGATCTTGAAAGAACAATTCTCAACTTTATATGGAGAAACAAAAGACCCAGGATACCCAAAACAACCCTGTACAATAGAGGAACTTTTGGAGGCATCTCCATCCCTGACTTCAAGCTTTATTACAGAGCTGTACTCCTGAAAACAGCTTGGTATTGGCACAAAAAAAGACAGGTAGACAAATGGAATAGAGTTGAAAATCCTGATATTAACCCACGCACATAAGAACACCTGATTTTTGACAAACAATCCAAATATATACGCTGGAAGAAAGAGAACATCTTCAACAAATGGTGCTGACATAACTGGATGCAAACATTTAGAAGACTACAGATAGATGCAAGCCTCTCAGCCTGCACAAAACTTAAGTCAAAATGGATCAAAGATCTCAACATAAATCCAGCCACACTGAACCCACTAGAAGATAAAGTGGGAAATACTCTTGAATTAATCGATACAGGAGACTGCTTCCTGTACATAACACCAGTAGCACAGACACTGAGATCAAAAATTAATAAATGG